TCCCAATCTTCATAAACTAATCTCTTGCCAAGTTCTCTTTCCAAGTCCTTTTTTATTCCAAAAAAGGAGATTATTTTCTTTACAAATTATCCACAAGTTAATTTGCTCCTCATCATCATTGGTGTTGATTGCATACCAGTAAAAAAATAATAATTCCCCTTCAATACTACAGAGTATTATATATAACTAGCATATAGTTTTTTGTATATATCATCAATTTCGAAACACCATTAATATCACATGTAAAAATGTAATAATTTTAAAATGTAAAAATAGTAAGCCGTCGACTATTTAAGTCTATTAAACGTACTGCGGTATCTTGCAGTTAACACGATATGCGCGTATTGTTTGAAGTGCATGTTTATTCGTCCATAAGATACATATTCATTGTTTATTGTATGATGTGTAGTTTTTTTTGCATTTATTTTACAATTTTCTTTCCCGACAAGCAAGTTTCCTATATCGTATGAGGATAGATATCGATATTGAATGCTGTTTTAATTTAATGAATCGCTTTTTGTGATTGGATACTCTGCTGTGCGTTGCCTTTTATTATTAATTACATGTACCTACAGAATTTAATATCTTTGGGTTTAAGGATAAAACTCTCGAAGCATTAATTTGAAATTACATGTATTCTTAATATTAAAAACCTCTTAACGTTTACCTTGAATTTGTCCTATTTTTTTTTCAAAAAAACATTAACTTGGCCATAATTTTTCATTTGGGTACCAACATGTTTAACCTTGAAGTTTTGTGTCCCCCGCTTTTGCGATGGAATATTAAATCTCTTTCGTCCGTCTGTCAGTCTGTCAGACTGTCCTTCCCTTATAAAATCATAACCTGGCCATAACTTTTGATGAATTGGGGCTTTGACTTTCATATTTCACTGGCCAAGTTAGGGAGAGGGCTAAAATAGGCTTTGCCTGCTGCCCAATCCCATTCACTTATGTGTATAAAATTTTGTATAAACAAATATTTCACAGGTATTTTTCTTTTGACAAGACCTTTCTTTGGATACCACCATATGTGATCTTTTGAACTTCGGCCTTCGAGTTTAACACACGTTTTCACAAAAATTCCTTAATTTTATTTTTGCAATACCTTTTCAACGGTAGATACTAGGATCATCATATTTCACATACGTATTATTTGTGGCAAGACCTTTCATTGGATTCAAATATATTTAATCTTCATATTTCTAATCTTTGTGACAAGGTTTTTCATTGGATAGCAAACGTTGACCATTTGCACTTGATCTTCGATTTAGGCGTACTTTTAAAAAAAAAACTTTAACCCTGGCCATAATTTTTAAACGATTAGGGCTAGGGCTTTCATTCTTTACAAACGTAATACTTGTGACGAGACTTTTCTTTAGAAAACAACTTTGACCCCTTGACCTTCGAGTTTGACCTATCTTTCAAAAACATCCTTGCCCATAACTTTTAAAGAGGTTGTGCAAGGGTTTTCATATTTCTTGTGAGAAGACCCTGCTTCGGGTACCAATATGTTTAATTTGGATTTAAGAATTGTTTCATCTTCGCTATGTTGCCATACGGGGTTATCGGCGTTTCACAAACACATCCTCTTTCTTATCACTTTTGATTGAGAAGAGATAGGGCTTTATATTTTACACAAGTATTACCCATGACAAGATTTTTCATAACGTGCTATGATTTCTGGCCCCTTCACCTTTACGATTTACCTTATAAAAAAATTATCTTCCGTCATACTTTCTAAATGACATATGATAGCGCGTTCATATTTGACACAATTTGTCATTAAAATGACTCACACAGACACCGAAAGCGAGGGATCACTTTTTTTTAAATTCCTTGAAAGAAAATTCAACCTTCGCCATAAGTCGTCAAACATGATGGAAGAATATTGTTATTTATAATTTATACTCAATAACGTCTATGCGTGCAGGATATAAGATAAAAAAAACTACAATCGATTATTTTTTACCACATATGTAGTACGAGGGCCGTTCAAAAATTACGCACAGAAAAAATATTTGACGAAATAATCGAGCAAAATATCACAGATAATATAAAAGAATCTTTACCTGCATGGTATTCAAAATTTTTATCAAAATGTTGTAAATTGGTATCCATTTTGAGTGATTTTTCAGGACATATCATTTAGTCACGGAGCAGCATAATCTTCGACGTCACAGGCATTGTGAAACAATATGTGATTGATCTCTCATTTTCTCAACATTTTCCCAAGAGTACCAGTTTCAGTTATCTACTCAACATTCAAACACCATTTCTCGTCAAGCCTAGTATCTATTTAACAAGTAAAGAATATTCATTTTTTGTTTTAAAATCCAAAACTGCAGGTATAAATGGGATATAGTGTAATATTAGTAACTCTCAATCACTACTTTACAGTCCGCATAATTTTTTTTGTCGAAAATCTTCTTCCCGTCCTCCTTTTTACAGAGGTCTAATGGTCTAAAATTTTAATTTGCGATTTGTGGACGAGTCTCACGAATACCCTAGTTAACTATATGTTTTATCATGCATATTTTGGATCTATGTTGGCGATATCTCGAGCATTACACATAATTTAACAAAACTGTGGTGTGCCGTCAACTCAAAAGACGTCATTTCCCCAGTCGTTTTCACGGGAATCGCAACAAAGAAAAATCACTATATTTCTTTATACTTGAAATATCGCGTAAGAAATCTAAATACATAATAATAGAACAATTTGAAGAAATTTTTGAGAAAATTGTCGAAAAATATCGCGAATTATAGAAAATAAATGAGTTAAAATTTGGATTCCGCATGCTTTTGCTTAAAATTTTTTGTCGTGCTCCGTACCTCTCCATCGGCGATATCAACATATCGATAATTTTAGTTTTAAAATACAAAAAATTTTGCCCAAGATTTATTGAAATCTTTTTGATACAAATTTCTGTGAAATTTCATAACAATATGATGTCTGTAAGAGTAAATAATAGCCACCCTCGTACATATTCTAAGTAACTCATCATTTCTCTTCATTAACCTGATACCCGTCAAACGGATGAGTCTGTATAAACTGCTGACCCGTGTCGCATTCAGTTATGTCACAAAAGAGATCCCTCACTGATCAAGCCCCCAGTACCGAAAAAGGTCAAAATTTGCAGTTTTCCAAAACAAGTGGTGGAGAGAAAATGAGACAAAACGAGTAAAACTTTCTCGGGAGGGATGATTAAACAAGACACAAATTAACAAAAAAACATTCATTGGATAAGAACTTTCACTTGAATGTTTTTTTTTTTTAAAAATACGCTTTTGACGCATTATTATTATTCGTAGAAAAATTGTTGATTTTCTTTTTCTCATCATTAAATATATTAAGAATTGTAACTAGAAATATCTATAATGGTTATTATTTCACCTTAATGCCTCTTCTTTCCCCAAAATGCTATGAAAAAGGACAAAAGACAAATTTATATCTTATTGATCAAAATAAAGGTTTTGATCAATTAACACAATTGTAGTTAATATTAGCATCATAGCATAAAATGTTACCAACAAAGTGGACAATTATTCTTAACACCTATAAAAGATTTCTTACATACATGTTTAATAATAACAGAACACAAACTGTGTATTAACTTCTGTTTGCCGAAAACAATTGTAAAACATGTGTATACAGTTTTCTTCATGCAAAACAAAATCCAGAATTTAACTTGTAAATACGGAGAGTATACAATGTAGTTTGAAACTTATAAAATTGTCAAAAGTGGGGTCAATCATCCACACTTGAATTAACCTTTATATGTTATAGAAATAGCATGAAACCAAATTCTATTGATGTTCCTATATTCTGTGTATACAGGGTGTCCCAAAACATATGTTACACTTTTAAATCGTTATAAAAATTTAATGCCTCAAGCTACATTAATGAAATTTAGAATATATACTAAAATTATTATAAATTTTTTGTCTAGCATACATTTTTACAGTTTCCTTAGTAATCATAAATATTTTTCTTTAGAATAACATAGGTCATTTTACAGCATATTCCAAATTACGTCCCTTGTAATTAACAATGTTTGAACACAATTTCTGAAGTTTTTTTTACCAAGTTTAAAATGTAACATTCTAACAGTTTACAGGTTTTTCCACATTTAAATTGAGTTTCACCAAACACTAAAATTTAAGATTCTCTTTAACAACATTGCTAAAATGGAAATGGGCTTCATCGCAAAACGACGCATTTGTTAAATTTTCAGAGTCTGGTCTAATTAAAATCCAATGTGCAAACTCTAAACAACCTGTAATTTCTGTCTCTTTCAAATGCTGCATTAAAATTATCTTATGAGAAATCAGTTTTAAATTGAATTCGAGTATTGTATGAACGCTGGATTTTCTGAAGGTGCTATCTTGTTCATGCAGGGCCCGTCTAAGGGATTTTTTAAAATAAAGTTTCAGTGAAATGATATCTCTATTGATGATTTTAATGTTCTCTTTGGTACGGGCACCCCTTGGTCTTCAAATAACAGAATTTTATGTGTCAATTATGGTGCCTTATCTTCAAACTTCCTCACTAATCTGTAAATTAGCATTTTGTTGGGCACCCTCATTACAGGATGTCGTTTTCTCATGGTTCTAATGACTAAAATAGCAGATTTACACCCATATTAAAGTTTGACAATTTCTATCAGCTGTTCTCATGAAGGTTCCGTTTTAAAAATATGGTGACGTCATTACGACATTATAATTGCCTGAATTTTCAACAGAATTTCATGAAAGTTTGTCAGATAAAATGTATGATGATACACTAGATGTTGACGAAATATCTTTTGGAAAGCTTGTGATTTGATAAAGTTATAGATGATTAAAAGTGTAACATATGTTTTGGGACACCCTGTACAATAGAAATACATAAAAAGACAAAAATAGGTTTCAAGTGACACTGACAAAAGGCAGCAGGTTTTAAATGAGGCCGTGGGATACTTTTCTTTAAAATTTACAACGTGTTCCATATAAGGTATAATTTCTTGGAACTTATGCTTATTTGCATTTAATGTTAATACACAACAATACAAGGCGGTTTTACCTGTATATATGTCGTCTTAGCTTCCATCGGGTGTCCACTCATCCATCTCAAAAGACTAAAGTAATTTTCACATTTTTTTTTATCTTTAAGCAATTTTTTTTTGTTTTTGCTTATTTATTTGTTTGTTTGTTTGTTTGTTTTTTTTTCTTGTTAATCGTAATATGTACATTTACTACTTAGTGTCAAATAATGCAGGTAACATAGATGTTGATTTTGTTATCTCTCTTTTAGCATACAGTTCAAAGTTAGAACGTAAACATGTATTATTTCATACTCCATGGATTGTAAAAATACCTCGCCGAGTTGATTAAGTTTGTTTTTTTACCTGACAGAGAAAACCAGTAATACAGTCTTGAATTGAAATAAAATGTAATTTAATCTAGTTTGTACACATATTTGGGGTCGGAAAAGACAAACAAAGAGAATCTTCAATAAGTATTATGCAATCTGAATAATCATTAATTTATAAATTGATAATTATCTATATACATGTGGAAGAGGAGTTCAAATTACAAAAGAAAGAATACTCTGACACTTTGAATGTTTATCACTTTTGATCATGAGTCATTTTTATTGTCTATTAATGTAGTGTAAGGCAGTGTTCTGTTTTGGTGATTTCGTCTCTGCGTAACATGATATCCCCTTTAATGTTTTTATTACTATGTAGCAAATTACCAAGCGCTATTTTTGTAAGGATGTAAAATGTGTACAGGGTGGTTCAAAAAACATGCAACCATTTCGATTGATTAGATTTTGCTTCTGGTAGATAGATACCATGCTCCAATATATCTAATTAAAAGTTACAACTTCAAGATTTATTCTTATTTCAAAAAGTGAATGTGCAGATTCCTTTCGCTGGGCTACAAAACAAACATCTTTTGAACCACCCCCTTTCCTCACAATCAATCTAAATTATGGTTAAATGTCTGGAAAGTCCATTGTCTTTATAAACCTCGTACACATTATTATACAATACTTCACATATTTCCAGTTATACCGTAAATCTGGAAATTTTTGCTGTAGATAAATTTTAAGCAAATTTGCGGGTTCATTGCATTCGCAAAAATATTTTTCTTAAAAGTAAATAACCAATAAGAAAATGTTAACACAATGGTCGTCATTCGCAAAATTTTGAAACGTAAAAATTAATCAACAGCATTTTGACCCATATTCGCAAAATTAAATCGGCGCAAAAATTTCCAGATTTCCGGTACGTTAAACTTTAAAGCGTTCGTCTTTTAAGCAAGACTGTGCAACCATTTTCTGTTACGAGTCACCAATGCACTGACGTCATTTTGCATTGTGACGTCACAATGATGGACAAAATCATTTCTTTTAATATGCAATTTATAAAACAAGTCCAGGACTATAGGTGTGCCAAATTCATTCTGATCTGAATCGTGGTTTAGTAAATACAGAGATAATAGCAAACGTTTTGATCACTCCCATATCTTCTTTAACTTCTTTTCTAGATCGTTAATATTTTTTTCACATATTTATGTTAAATTCCATCAATATATCTGAAAAGATTGTATGCTCTGATCGAATGCTTTATAGAGAATCCCCCATAACTTTGGGTTATAAATAAATTTAAGGTATACTTTTTTCATCTAATTTGTTGTGTATCATTAAAACACACAAAAAACTCACCTAATGACGTGACATTTGTAACCTTAAGCAACAGGCAATCCTATATTTATTATTGAACAAACAAATCGTTTTGGTAAAGCAAAAATTAAAAGAAATATATTATGAAATTTCCAGATAACAAAATCCTTGCTGCTCCAGAGTTATGCAGAATGGCGAAGCATATATTTCAGTTATATGTCTACATCTTTACAATACTTCAGGTAAAACCATCGCAATTAATATAAGTTGTTTGGCATAAATGAGTTAGAAAAATGACCGACTTTATAATTTTGTTTGGAACAAAGCAAAAAAAAAAAGATTTTTTTTTTTTACAAAGTAACTACTAATTAAAACTTAACATTAAAACTTGTGCTACCTTATCATTTTAGCTCATCTGAGCTGAAAGCTCAAGTTAACTATTCTGATCACACAATATCCGTAGTCCGTCCGTCCGTCTGTAACCTTTCAGATATCTAACTTATTTTCAAGAACCACTGAAACAATTATAACCAAACCTAATAGAAAACATACGTGAGTAAATGGAAGTTTAAATTATTAAAATGAAGGTCCATCTCCCATTCCAAGCGGAAATAATCAAGAAAAGACAAAAAAGCTTCTTCCCCACAACCACTGGGCCATGAAAGCCTAAAATTATTTGGAAGACTCTTCGGATAGTCTAGATTCTAAAGTACAGCATGCATTCAAATTATTACACCCAGAAAAAGGACAGGGCCACAATCACAATAACAGGCGTCTAATGTGGAGCATAAAAAGAATAAAAGAATTCTTAAGACATCACAGGTAGATTTAATGCAAGAACCATGAGTGGTTGTCCTGCAGGACTGAATGAAGAAGGATCAAACATTGCGGTATTTCAAAAGAAAACAACAGTCTCTAGTATGAATCTTATGAATGCAAAAATTACTCTGGATTGTGCTTAATCAGATGATGAAACGAATATATTGCTAGAAAATGATATCAAAGAACATTTTTCAAAAGCAGATGGAAGATTTAGACCAGATTGCTTAATTTGGTTTTTGGGTTGATAGGGAGACGACATGTCGAGCATCTGTCATGCTCTTGAGCTGCATTTCGGTTCATGGAGTTGCTCGAGTGTCTTTGGTTCTAGGTCGCATTTTAGAAATCGGTCTTTTAAGAAGATAACTCTCTGTGTGATGTTCCAGCAAAAGTAGTGTAGCCAACATGGGGTGGGCTGGGGGGTAAAAGATTGTGATACTTTCCGAAAAAACAATGGGAAGAACAGTTGGGGATGATTTGAATAATCTCTCTCAACTGAAAGAAGAGGGGAGAAGGGAATGATAAAGCAAGGTCAATGATGACCTCTTCGTGAACTGGAGGAGCCGTTAAAATCGGGAAGTAGACTCATTAGTTTTATGAATCCCGGTGTATCAGCCAAAACCTTCTTGACTTCCATATCTTACGACAAACTTTTTCAATGTGCACACAATAACCCGGGATCATATGTAGTAGGTCATACATTAGACTTGAAACAACATTTTCATTTTGCACTTAATGACCCTGAATCATCCCAGGGATGATCTCTACTCATTGAAACCTTGAATTAATAACACCATATTATAGTCTTAAGGCATTTTTTTGTTTTACACTTAATGACTTCAAACTAACCATGGTATGAACTCTACTTGTCAGGACCTTCAATTGAAAGGTTACACGATAGCCTTGGAATTTCTTGCACTCAAATTACTTTTGAACACTCCTATGTACCCCCGGATACACATTCTCTCTTTCGTGTTTTCTCGGTGTTTTTCCCATAGTTTTAATGTCCTTTAAATTTGAAGACCCATAAATAGTCTAGGAACAGAATTGATAATTCTAAGAAATAAACCTCCTTATACTTTGGCCTTTTTTACTTCTTAGAGGGATATTCATTAATAGTGAGACTTCTTCAATCAAGTAAGCAATAACATATGATTCTTTTCTATTTTATTTACATCCCTTCAAAATAATCACTCTTTACTTCAAAAAATCTTTGAAGTCGTTTCATCCAGCTTTGGAACGCGCCTCTTAACTCCGAAAGAGGTATACTCTTTAAGACACTGATACACAGTTGAACCTAATGCAGAACGAGAATAAAAACGTCTTCCAGATAGCATCATTTTCAATTGGGGGAAGAAGAAAAAGTCACATGGGGATAAATCTGGGGAATAAGGGTGGTAATCCAGTTGCTGTATTCCATTTTCCGACAAGAAATCTTGCATGTACTTTGCAGTGTGTGTTGAGGCATTATCATATAAAAGCTTGACCCCCCTCATTCACGACTTTGGCCTTCTGTTTTTGTAGTGTTTTTGTACCTCGGACAGTATCTTTTCACGTAAACAACTTAAGTTACACTTCTGTCCTTTTTAATTTGAATCTGACCGATAATCCCGTAAGAATTGAAAAGAATTGCATACAAAACCTTCCTTGCTGTTTTGCCGCGCTAAGCTATGGTAGGTCGTTTACTTTGTGTAAGGATCCATATTTTGTTTTCCAAGCTTTCTCATGGGTTCAAAAAATGTAGCCAAGTTGCATACCCCGTAACAATTTCATGTAGATGTATTTTATCACATTTTCCATAACTTTCCAAAAGTTTTCGAAAAATTTGTAAACGCTTTCCTTTGTTTGGCAGATACTTTCCTGACTCCTTAATGTAGTTTTAAAATCTTTCAAAATGATACCCGATGAAATGTGCAGTTTCTTGGCAATCTGGTTCACAGTAACTCTGACGTCTCTGTCCATGATATTTTTCACTGCTGCAACTGATTTCTCATTGACAATTGATCTTGGTCTTCCCGATTGTTTCATATTTTCAATAGAATCCCTACCAAGTTTGAAATGCTTTACCCATTGAGAAGCAGTTTTGATAGCGACAACAGAGTTTTAATATGATGACACAGGTTCTTTGAAAATTTCTTTTCTCTTGATATTCATTAGAAAGGGATATTTTATATACGACCTGATGTTCAAAATGTCTTTTCGGGACTTTCCCTCTCTCTTCATGTTTACAGTGTCCACATGATGGGTTCGAAAATGATACTCATTTTGAAAACCGCTTTATAAATAGATTGTGACTACGTTTCCAACCAAAAGGATGGAAGAAAATAAACATTTTAAGGTCAAAGGTCAACATGTCCATAAATTTATTTTTACAATAGCTCCAAAACTATGTGAGGTATAAAGTTTACACTTTTACAGTTTATAAATTTTTCATCGATTAACAAAAAGAAAGTAATCACTTGATAAAAAAAATACTTGGAAAAAATATTTAAATTGAGAAAAAATCTTTTAAAAATGCATATATTTTCAGAAAATGCACCTAATTAATTCCGTGCTTTTAGTGAAAACCATCATTGCAGAAACAAAATATGTTTATTAATGAAGGGCAAGTTAAACTTGGGTAGCCTCTGGAAAGATCTTTTCCCTATTTATTTTGTCCAAATGTTAAGACTTGAAAGCGAAAGTACATTTCAAATGGCAGGTTCTACAGGGGTTTTGTCTTTATACATGTCATGCTTTCAATAACAGCCTTTCAGAGACCATTCACGTCCCACTTGCCCTCCAATGTTAAACATATATCATTTCTGCAATGATGGTTTTTACAAAAAGGACAGAATTAAGCAGGTTAATTTTTCTTTTAATATACACATTTCTGATACAACTTTTCTTATAAAAAATCTTTTTTATAAATATTAGTTGTCAAGTGATACTTTCTATCTTTTATTCAATAATATATTGATAAACTGTAAACATTTTGACTTTATATCACACAAAGTTTTGGAGCTATTGTAAAAATTATTTTTATACAAGTTTACCTTTGACGAAACCTTAAAAGAGGTTCTATTTTTATTTAGTGTAAAATTTAAAAGGAGTACGTATAGTGTTCATATTTAATGAATAGCACTCGTACAAATACCATCGTCATAAATCTAAAATGTTACAAAAGTATCTTAATTTATTCTGTTGTACTATGTTAAACAGCATGAACTAAGGGTGTTCATTGACATTTTCTCTTTATATGTTAGAAAATTTATATTAATAGCTTTTGAACTATATTCTTGTTTATCATACTTTGGATAATCTTTCCATTTACATCCAAGATACATGTAAGAGAATGAATATGCTCATTTAAAATTTAGTTTAGGAACTTCCGGTTGACGAATGGCAAGGTGAAAGGTGATTTATGGAGCTCCTGGGATATTTCTATTGTAAATACATTTTTACATGTCTGCCAGGCCAAAATGTGTGGTATTTTATTAACATATGTATTTTACGAGAGATTTTTAAGGAAGCAAGTCAAGTCCAAAGCTATTGTTCCTATTATCTACCTTCCTTAAGTACATGTGTATTACCTGTCACGCACGATATTTTTTTTATTAATGGCCGCCAAGGAGTTTACTTATAGTGCCCCTAAAATGAAAGTAGACAATAGCCCATCCGAAAATTACAATCACACTTTGGATGAATTAAAAAAAACAGTTTGAGGGAAAAGAACTTGCAGAATGCTTTTCTATTATGTCCATGGAAATTTGAGATCTTCGAGGAGAAATCAAGGCTATAATGCAACGTGTTGGTGACCTGGAAACGGTATGTGAAAACCTTAATCAGGATATTTCAGACATTCATCAAACGTCTTTTCCGGAGATAAAATAGGCAGTTAAGGTTGAACGAATCGAACACCTCAAGCTGGAAATGTGGGGCAGAAAATGGAATTTGGATGTCCGGGGCATTGAAGGGTCAATTTTTTAATGGTGTTCTGAAATCCGAGGAGTCATTTGCAAACGGGGTGACTTTACAAGCCGTATATCGCCTGCCAGGTCGACCAGAATAGGAAATGAAACATTATCGTTCAATTTAACAGTCTTATTGACAGAGATGAGGTTCTTGAGGGGGAGAGAAAATTAAAAAGTGGTTCAGGATATGGGATATCGCCCAATTTCCCTAGAGAAATAAGCGATCTGAGAGCCAAACTCCTAAAAGAGAGATCCGCAATGCCACCGGACGCTAGAAGTAAGACAAAACTAGTGAACATAAAGGATTTCCCCTTTGTGAAACTCAATAAATAGATTTTCCGGTTCAGTCATCCCGATACCCATGTTTACAACTGACAAGAAGTGTATTCATTCAGTTATGGAATTCTGACCTTCTTTTTCATTGATAAATATCAGTGCTATTTTGGGAATGACAATTGTGTCATAATCGC